AGTTTGGAACTCGGTAGTGAGTGTTGCAACCGAGGACAGACGATTTTTACCCGCTACGCGCTTCAGCACTCAGCATTCTCGTTCTGTTTCCACTTCACAATAACAGCACTTAGAGTTGACCGGGGCAGCTCTAGCAGGGCAGAAATTTGACAAACTGACTTGTTGGAAAGGTGGCATCTTATGATGGTGCCACGTTGAAAGTCACTGAGCTCTTCAGTAAGGCCATTCTACTGCCGATGTTTGTCTATGGAGATTGCATGCGTGTGTGCTCAATTTTATACACCTGTCAGCCACGGGTGTGGCTGAAATAGCCAAATCCATTAATTTGAAGGGGTGTCCACGTACTTTTGTATATATTGTGTAAATCAGGGCTCTCCAACAGGTCGATCGCGAGCTAACAGTAGCCCGCAGCCCAATTCTGAAAGTACATGCAATTTTCACGTGTTCCACAGCAAACTGTCATAAACAAATCTCACAAGTATCAGACACCGCAAGCTCCCACAGTGAGGTGGAGAAGTGGATGGCCTATGCTCCTCATGGAGTTAAAGGGTTTTAAACCACATGGCTCCCCTAGTGAGGTCCTCCTGTTAAAGCAGGATTTTAAAACACATGTTAGTCAGTCCTCTTTCCCCCAGTCGTTTTCATTACTAAACAAGTTCTGTTGGCTCATCTCGCCTCCCCATTTGTACACATCTCCGCCTCAATGATTCTGAGGGCACAATATCAACCAGTCACTTCAACATGGGACAAAAAAATTATAATCGGGATGCCCTCCTGTCACCACGGCAGCCACTTTTACTCAGTAAGCCGTTGCCTAGCGACCCCAGTGGAGCGCCGACAGTGGCCTGACATGAGGCCTTGTTTGGAGCATAGATATATAAATAATAGAATGAATGAACATAGACTGGAATGGGAATGTGCGTTCTAGTAATTCAATTTCTATGGTCTGGACTATGGTGGCCCTCCTCCCTCCTCTCTGTCTGAGCTCAGCTAGCTGAAAGAGCCTCTTTCAATTGAAGTGGGGAGGAGAGGGAGGGAGGGTGGAGGCTGGGGGACATTGGGGATATGTTGGGTTTGTTGTGGGCGTTGGGATCTTATTGATATTGTATAGTATAGTCTCTTCTCTTACTCATCTCTCATATGTCTCTCTCTCCTCTCTCTCTCTCTATCTCTCTAATATGTATCTATATCTTTCCTATATTCTCTGTATCCCTCTCTCTCTCTATATCCTCTGTCTCTTATATCTCTCTCCGTCTATCTCTATCTCTCTCTCATCTTCTGCTCTCTCTCTCTTCTCTCTCTTCTCTCTTCTCTTCTATCTTCTCTCTCCCTCTGTCTGTCTCTCTCTCTCTATCTCTCTCTCTCTATCTCTCTCTCTATCTCTATCATCTCTCGATCTCACTGTGTCGGTCTGGTCTCTCTCTCTCTGTCTCTCTCTCTCTCTCTCTCTCTCTCTCTCTCTCTCTCTCTCTGTCTCTCTCTGTCTCTCTCTGTCTCTCTCTGTCTCTCTCTGTCTCTCTCTGTCTCTCTCTGTCTCTCTCTGTTCGCTTTCTGGGAATGACATGACAGCAGAATGTGAGACTGAACAAATGTGTGCTGAGAATACCCCAATGCCATCATCCCCCCTCCTCTCACAGACAGGCTCAAACCTACTTATTTAAACCGTTTAACTCCATGAGAAGCATAGGCCATCCACTAACATTCTCCACCTCACTGTGTTAAACCCTTTGTGTTTTGGACTTCTAACTCCCTTTAAATGTGTGTTTGAGACTTATGGGGTATACAATTGGATTCGGCTATTTCTTTTGCAGCCGTATATCCAAACCACTAGTCTGTGTGATTAACGGGGGCTGAGCTAGAGCAGTGTTTGTGAGACAAGGGCAGATCCTGAAGGGGCCTGGGGCCAGGTCTTTTTACAAAAACTTCTGTAGAGTCCGAATGGTTTGAGCTACAAACTATTAAAAGCTATCTATGAAAAGCTGAGACTCCCACGAACATGCACATTCACAAGCTACACAAGAGTCGTTAGAAGGTAAAGGGTTCTTCTACATAGAAGTTCATAGGAAATCCCAGGACATAGTGTCTATAATACTGTAATAAGCTCACATAGTTGTTGTCACAAACTCCAAACTCCACACAGTTGTCACTGACTAGTTGGATATTCATTTCCCATTGAGCAAACAATTTCTGTACTTACAGCATAGATATAAATTCATTTTTATCAGGTTTTTGCTTTGGTGGACCTTTAAAAAAAAATATATATTTGAATGCAACTGTTTATGTCAACTTGTTGTGTGTTCTACTTGTAGCCCTGCTTGTTCTGAAAAGAAATGGTAAAACACTTCATTGTGAGGATAAATATAAAGGCTGGACATGCAGATAAATGAAAGTCAGATAAATGAAAAGCCAATTTTTGCTGGAATCTAGGGACTGATAGGGTTTACTCAGAGCACAGGCCATCCACTAATGTTCTCCGCGGCACCCTGACCGGGAGCCCGATGCATTCTTTAGGGGCACTCTGGGGTCCAGATGGAGACAGAGACTCCATACCCACTGTTGGCTTTGTCTGGCCGGCATTCACTAACTCTACTGCAACCCAGCACGTTTACATTAATACAAGCACCACTCCCATCCTACCACCTACCATCCTACCACCTACCATCCTACCACCTACCATCCTACCACTCCCATCCTACCACTCCTGTCCTACCACCTACCATCCTGCCATCCTACCACTCCCATCCTACCACCTACCATCCTACCACTCCCATCCTGCCACTCCTGTCCTACCACCTACCATCCTACCACCTACCATCCTACCACTCCCATCCTACCACTCCTGTCCTACCACTCCCGTCCTACCATCCTACCATCCTACCATCCTATCACTCCCATCCTACCACTCCCGTCCTACCACCTACCATCCTACCACCTACCATCCTACCACCCTACCACCTACCATCCTACCACCTACCATCCTACCACCTCCCATCCTACCACTCCCATCCTACCACTCCCATCCTACCACTCCCATCCCCTAATCTCAGAACCCAGAACCAAAGCATGTGCACTAAGGTAGCTAGCTACTCAATTTGACCATCTGTCACAACACACTACACATCTCGTATCATTACATTCCTTCCACGACTACACACAGAGCAAAGGACCGTGGCAACAGACATATATTTGGCAGAACTGGTTACCGACCTCCATAACTCTGTAATACATTCACCACTCCACTAAAGACACACATTCTGCATCCCAAATGGCACCCTTGTCACGACTTCCTGCGAGGCTGCCTCCCCTCCTTGTTCGGGCAGGCTTCGGCGTTCGTCGTCACCGGCGCCCCAATTATCATCATCACATTTGTCTTGTCTTGTCAATCACACACACCTGGTTCTAATCCCCTCATTAGTCTGTGTATAAGTGTTCCCTCTGCCTCCCTTGTCCTTCTGGGTGATTGTTTGTATGTGAGAGTACCGTAGCTCGGTGGAGCTACTCGTACCATTTTGTTGCCAGGGTAGATATTTCCCCTGTGCCTATGTATTGTATGGAGATACCGTTACAGTGTATTGCCAGGGTAGATAGTTTCCCCTGTGCCTGTTTCGTTTGTCGCTATTCCAGCGTATTTTGTGTAAAGAAGGAATAAACTCTGTATTCGGTGATTACCCTCCTGCGCCTGACTCCTTCCATCACACTCATCACAACCCTATTAGGGGTTGTGCACTGTATAGGGAATAGGGTGCCATTTGGCGGCAGGTAGCTTAGTGGTTAAGAGCGTTGTGCCAGTAACCGAAAGGTACGCTGGTTCTAATCCCTGAGCCGACTAGGTGAAAAATCTGTCGATGTGCCCTTGAGCAAGGCACTTAACCCTAATTGCTCCTGTAATGTCGCTCTGGATAAGAGCGTCTGCTAAATGACCAATTATTTATTTGGGACTCATCCACACAGTGTATGCCAACGGGAGGACAACAACTGTATATAATTTGCTAATGCACAGCAAAGATCCATATCACCTACTAACGTGGCACTGGAACAGTGTGCAATTCGATAATTCATGAAGCACGTTTCACCACCCGGTTTTAAACTACAGTATGCATGCGTGTACAAGCAGGCGGGGTGTCTGGCCGAGAGAAATGTTAATACTGGGGGTGTGCCCTAAATGGTACACTGTTCCCTATTTAGTGCACTACTTTTTTTCACCAGGGTTTGCATTTAGGGAATAGGGTGCCATTTGGGACGCATGCCCTGGTTTTCATACGGAGTGGCCTCAGCCTCATCAATGGGAATACTACTGAGCTGAACCCGACGGCTCGGGCCACTGGGCCAAAGTTCAGGTTTTATATAAGGGCATGCGTTACGTTACGTAAGACTACTGCAGGAGTCTGAGCTGCTACAGTACTCACACATAATTCATACCCTAGCTAAGACTAGCTGACGACTTCTTTCATCACTTCTAAAACAAAATCTGTCCTACCAACAGCACTGCAAAGAAAAGTCAGTTGTCTGAAGACAAGACATTTTAAGCTACAGTAGGTTACATTCAAAGAGGGATAGTCGAAGCCCCCCTGCACGTGATTCTATTACTACACTCGTTGAAAAAAAAAAAAAGGGGCTATCTAGAACCTAAAAGGGTTCTTCGACTGTCCCCCTAGGAGAACACTTTGAATAACCCTTTTTGGTTCCAAGTAGAACCCTTTTGGTTCCAGTTTAGAACCCTTTACACAGAGGGTTCTACATGGAACCCAAAATAGTTCTACCTGGAAACAAAAAGGGTTCTCCTAAAGGGAAAACCAAACCTTTCTTCTAAGTGTGTAGCTTTCCAGACTGATTGTCAATTGATTGCTTGATGGTATTCATTTGGATTTATAGATTTTTTTTAGACAAATTAGCGTCTGGTTCCAATAAAATACAATATTCCTGTCTCATCTACTAAAACTCAGCACCTATGTGAGACTCTCAAAACAAAGTGGTACACGAGATTCTGCCTGTTGGTTGATTTATGATTTGACCAGGTGAGACTCACCTGCCACAGAGATGATGAAGGAAGCGTCCATGGCGTCGATGCCCAGGTTCCTGGCCCGGGCAGACAGGTGGAAATAGGGGATGAAGTATGCTAGCTGGCTGAACACCAGGGACCAGGTGTAGATGCAGAAGAAGGGGTTCTTCAACAGGGAGAAGTCCAGGACTCTGTTCTTGTTCACGGCCGGTGGGATGGGGTTGTCCACGGTGGTGGTGCCGTTCGGCGATGAGAACCCAACCACGGCGGAACCGTTTATGCTAATGGTACCGTTCTGTTCCACAGGACTGGAGGTGCCTGTGAGTGGCATGGTGGGGGACGCCTCCTTAACGTTCCCGTTCACCTGCCTGTTCTGGTGGCTGTGGTTGCTCTGTCCCAGCCCAGGGGTCGTGGCCTTCTCTGGGGTCGTGGTGTCCCAGTGGAGGGGTGGAGGAGCGGAAGAGGAAGGGTCTGATTTGGCGATGCCATTGGTTAACGCCGTGGATCCATTCTGAGGTCGGTCCTTTTCCTTCTCTGGACCTATCAGAGGGCTTTTTTGGATGGATGAAGAGGAGGTTGAGGACGGGGGTGGTGCAGGCTTCACGTGGATGGGTCTTAGTAGCATCCCAGAGGCCACCAGGTTCAACATCAAGCCTCCCAGGATCAGCAGAGCTCCTGTGGGAGGAGCATAGAAGTGTTTCAGGCTCTTTACAGCATCAATCTAGAATAGCATTTTGATACAGTAGACATGGTCCTCTGTAGCTCAGCTGGTAGAGCACGGCGCTTGTAACGCCAGGGTAGTGGGTTCGATCCCCGGGACCACCCATACGTAAAAATGATTGCGCACATGACTGTAAGTCGCTTTGTATAAAAGCGTCTGCTAAATGGCATATTATGTAACAGACACAGAGATATACATAATTAAATGATGAATCATTAAATACTTCCCACACCCCAACAGACGTAGTGTGTGTGTGTGTACCTTGCCATGCGTACTGCTCCAGCAGAAGCTGAGTGAAGGGGGCGAGGGCGAAGGTCAAGCCCATCCCAGACCGTCCGATGGAGTATGCCGTCGCTAACCTCTTACGGAAATATGTTGCCGTGACAACTGAGGTGGCTTGGTACAGGAGCGCAAATCCAAGGCCTGAGAGGGGATAGATGACATATTTATGATCATATACTTATGATTCAGATTTCTTCATTAAAAACATGTGATTTGTCACCAAATTACAAATGCTAGACAAAAAAACAACAACTAAGTTCTAGTATATCAAATACCTAAAGACAAATACTTTCAAGTAAACTATTAAGTATTTGGACCCAGGGCTACTCTGCTTTGTAGCACGGATAGCACTTTAACCTTTAACCTTTAACCTCTTTTAACTGTTTGAGCTTTTAACTTGTTAACTTACCTACAATCAGCCCCATGCTGATATAGAGGAATACCACGCTGGTGGCAAAGATACTCATGAGGAAGCCAACACTGACCAGCACAGCCCCAGCTATAGAGGTCACTCTGTTACCCAGCTTCGCACACGCTACAGAGGCCAGGGGACCTAACACAGGAACAAACAGACAAACTTGAAAATGTGTTCCATAATTTGTTCATCCATCCGTCCGTCCACTAAGCTCTTAGTCAGAAAGACTAGGCGTCAGATGTTGTCAGTGGTTAAGGCGATGCAACACAAGAGCCAGACCCCAGACCCAGAGGGACGAGTGATGCGGTCAGACTTTGGTTTCATGTGAACTCTGACCTTGAGCGAGACACACACACACACACACACACACACACACAAACAAATCTGACTTCCCCACAAACACACACGTGCACACACACATACAGTAGAATTCTGAATGTTTTCCTGTCATGTGAACTCTGACCTCCAGAGAGCCGCAGGCTAGACATGATGGAGCCGATCCAGCTGATACTCTCTGCTGACCCTCCGAACTCATCCTGGAACGCCACGAAGAAGATCCCAAAGCTCTTTAGGGTCCCCATCACCAGCACGTTCACCTGGAGGCACAGACAGACGGAGGGAGGGAGGGATGCAGACAGGCAGACAGGCAGGCACAAACACACACACACACACACAAACCAACATGTGAGCACATGGTCTGCCACACCACAACCATGCACGGTTGGGGTCAATTCCTTTTAAATTCCAGTCAATTCAGGAAGTACACTACAATTCCAATTCCAATTCACTTCAATGCTAGAATTGGAATTTGGTTTACTTTCCAAATTGACATGGAATTGACCCCAACCCTGTGTAATTGTATAACATATCAACAATTATTTCAAGAAATGCTAGAAACATGTCCAATAGATAAACATTTCGTAAACCTCCAAAAACCCAAAGAGGAGGAAAGAAGAAGCCGTACCAGGAAGCAGTGAAGTACAATCATCCAGCCCCAGCCACCATCCGGGGGGTCCTCATATTGGATCTCCTTCTCTTCCTCCTCCTTAGTCTTCATACAGGCGTTATTCCTCCTGAACAGGTTAAGCTTGGCAGCCTTGGGCTCGCTGCAAACAAACCACAACAATGCAACACTTTCAAAGTGAACCGTAACATTGCAACACTTTCAAAGTAAACCATAACAATGCAACACTTTTAAAGTAAACCGTAACATTGCAACACTTTCAAAGTAAACCATAACATTGCAACACTTTCAAAGTAAACCGTAACATTGCAACACTTTCATGAGTAAACCATAACAATGCAACACTTTCAAAGTAAACCGTAACATTGCAACACTTTCAAAGTAAACCGTTACATTGCAACACTTTCAAAGTAAACCTTAACAATGCAACACTTTCCAAGTAAACCTTAAAATTGCAACACATTCAAAGTAAACCATAACATTGCAACACTTTCAAAAAGTAAACCATAACATTGCAACACTTTCAAAGTAAACCGTAACAATACAACACTTTCAAAGTAAACCATTACAATGCAACACTTTCTTCTTTTTATTTTGTCATTTTTACCCCTTTTTTCTCCCCAATTTCATGATTACGATCTTGTCTCATCGCTGCAACTCCCCAACGTGCTCGGGAGATGCGAAGGTCGAGTCATGCGTCTTCCCGAAACATGACACCCCGAACCACGCTTCTTAACACCCGCTCGCTTAACCCGGAAGCCAGCTGCACCAATGTGTCGGAGGAAACACTGTTCAACTGACGACCGAAGTCAGCCTGCAGGCGCCCGGCCCGCCACAAGGAGTCGCTAGAGCGTGATGAGCCAAGTAAAGCCCCCCCCAGCCAAACCCTCCCCTAACCCGGACGACGCTGGGCCAATTGTGCACCACCCTATGGGACTCCCGGTCACGGCTGGTTGTGACACAGCCTGGGATCCAACCCCAGGCTGTAGTGACGCCGCAACACTGCGATGCAGTGCCTTAGACCAACATTGCAACACTTTCAAAGTAAACCGTAACAATGCAACACTTTAAAAGAACTGTAAACCATCACATCTATATGCTTACCCACAAAGCATTCTGATCATAATCATAACAATAAATCTCAGCTAAACGCTTGATGAGAAGGTGAGAAAAATGTTCTGTATGAAATTATATAATGTACTGTTTACTGTACTGGTATATATTGTATACGAAAGACGTGCTTTGTTTTACTGTGTTACAAAGTGCCTCTTCATTTCAATTGAATTAGTCCTATTTTAAATGTATGATCAGTACAACACTCTAAAAGTAGTGGCTCACCTTGCAGTCATTTTACCTCACCACTACTGACACCATTGAAACCCTGCAATGTCTTCATATGTTAAAGAATAGTTATAAAGTAATCAACCGTGGCTACTTATTCATTTATTTTGCTCCGGTTGGTAATTGGTTCAGTGATGGATAAAGAACAGGCTACTAACTCCTATTGGTTAGTGCAGACAGAGTCACTGGGCGGAGTATTTCAGAGGTGTTAACAAATAAACAGTCAATGTTCTGAGTATCTCAGGTGTGTTAAAGGGTAGGGAGCAAGAGTTTTTACTCACCAAAGTAACAACACAGTGTGTTCAAAAACGTAGTAACTTAGTTGTAGTCACGATCTGGTTACCTATAACTACAAACATAGTTATGTCTTTGGGTTATTACACATTTCTTATGTTATTTCCGGATATCTTCTAAACTACCCACAATGCACTATTTCTCAACTTCATATGGAGAATCGACTCTGTGTTACCGAGTTTGTATGCTAGCTCAATCTGGCTAACGTTAGCCACTAGCCATGCTAGCATGTAATTACATTCCAGACCAAGTGTTGGCGGTGGTGAGCTACAATCCACCAATCATGAGGAAGTGTGATGTAAACAAGGAACAGATGGGGCGCATGTGGCCAGGCAGCATCCTCATGCTCTTCACAGTCTTTGTGGCTGTGTTATCTAGTGGGAACCAGTTAGCACGGCAGGCTCTGGTGCATTGTTGCCGTGGGCTCTTATCGTGTAGAACCTTGTCTGTTCTCCTTTTAGTTTTGTCAACTTTTCGGCATGTTCTCTGTGAAGTACGCTACGGGAGTAACTTTTTCCACCTTGGCTTAGTGCTACCGTGCTAGCTGACTGACATCTGGAATCTACACTATATATACAAAAGTATGTGGACACCACTTCAAATTAGTGGATTTGGCTATTTCAGCCAGACCCGTTGCTGACAGGTGTATAAAATCAAGCACACAGCCATGCAATCTCCATAGACAAACATTGGCAGTAAAATGGCCTTACTGAAGAGCTCAGTGACTTTCAACGTGGCACCGTCACAGGATGCCACCTTTCCAACAAGTCAGATCGTCACATTTCTTGCCTACTAGAGCTGCCCCGGTCAACTGCAAGTGCTGTTATTGTGAAGCGGAAATGTCTAGGAGCAACAACGGCTCAGCCGCAAAGTGGTAGGCTACACAAGCTCACAGAACGGGACCACTGTGTGCTGAAGCGCGTAGCGCATAAAAATAATATGTCCTCAGTTGCAACACTCATTACCGAGTTCCAAACTGCCTCTGGAAGCAACGTCGTCACAAGAACTGTTCGTCGGGAGCTTCATGAAATGGGTTTCCATGGCCGAGTAGCTGCACACAAGCCTAAGGTCACTATGCGCAAGCCAAGCATCGGCTGGAGTGGTGTAAAGCTCACCACCATTGGACTCTGGAGCACTGGAAACGCATTCTCTGGAGTGATGAATCACGCTTCACCATCTTGCAGTCTGACGGACAAATCTGGGTTTGGCGGATGCCAGGAGAACGCTACATGCCCGAATGCATAGCGCCAACTGTAAAGTTTGGTGGAGGAGGAGCAATGGTTTGGGGCTGTTTTTTCATGGTTTGGGCTAGGCCCCTTAGTTCCAGAGAAGGGAAATCTTAACGCTACAGCATACAATGACATTCTAGACGATTCTGTGCTTCCAAATTTGTGGCAACAGTTTGGGGAAGGCCATTTCCTGTTTCTAGCTAGCTGGCTAAATAACTAACATTAGCTGGCTAGCTTGCTGGCTAAGATAACTGCATATAGCTAACATACTTTTATAACTGGTTAGATGCCGTTATGCATTTCCAAAACGTTGGTTTACTTTAATGTTGCTGTAAGCTAGGTGTTGATAGCAACTGGCTGACTCATGTAGTGCTAAGGTAACGTTAGCAGGGTGGTAGGGCTAACGTTGGCAGGCCAGTTGGCTAGCAACCTTGCAAGTTGATTTGTAACAATACATTCGTAACGTTTTTTTGCTTGGAAGTTGGCAGAAAATGTAATTGAAATGATTTGGTTTATTTCAGTTGGCGTTTACATTATTGGGACTAGGTTGTCTGGCCTCCATATTAAGTCACACCCCATAAAAAGCATTTTCCGGCATCACTAGGCATTCTGATCGGTTTAACTTTGCATTGGGATTTTGATCTGTATACTACACTGAAAAAAATTATAAAACGCAACATGCAACTATTTCAAAGGTTTTACTGAATTACAGATCATATAAGGAAATCAGTTAATTGAAATAAATTCATTAGGCCCTAATCTATGGATTTCACACGACTGGGAATACAGATATGCATCTGTTGGTCACAGATAACTTAATAAATAAAAGGGTAGGGGCGTGGATCAGAAAACCAGTCAGTATCTGGTGTGACCACCATTTGCCTCATGCAGCGCGACATCTCCTTCGCATAGAGTTGGTCAGGCTGTTGATTGTGGCCTATGGAATGTTGTCCCACTCTTCAATGGCCTGTGTGAAGTGGCTGGATTGGCCGGAACCCGGAACACGCTGTCGTACACGTCGATCCAGAGCATTCCCAAACATGCTCAATCATGGGCTGACATGTTCTGTTGAGTTGAGGTATGCAATGGCCATGGAAGAACTGGGGGAACTTTTTAGCTTCCAATGAATTGTGTACATATCCTTGCGAACATGGGGCAGGTGCATACCATGCCTGAAAACATGAGGGGGGTGATGGCGGACGGATGAATGGCGACAATGGGCCTCAGGATCTCACGGCTCGTGCACAAATTGGTATCTATGTGTTGTTGCGTAATTGCACGCAATGGGGACTCTGTTCGATAAAATTTGCAATTGTGTTCGTTGTACACGTAGTGAAAATATTTATTTTTTATAATGGCCCCGGTGGGAAAGAACCCACACCCTGGGTAGCCACTATCCCCATCGGCATTCCTCCTACCCTGGACATGGGCCAATGGGCCACCCAACTCCGTCGCGGCGGTTGCGACAGCAGGTTCGAACCAGGATCCTATGACGTTAGCATGCATGCAGTGTTGACACTGCGCTCACACGCTGCCCACACAATGCCCTATAGCTTGGCCAACGGAAAATTCTCATAAATGGATGGTAAACAATTTGTCACAACTTTTTTTTCCAGCTCATGAAACATGGGACCAACACTTTACATGTTGCGTTTATATTTTCGTTCAGTGTAAAAACGCCTTCACATGGAAACAGACTTGGAAGGTACTGTTTCCAGGCCGACTACATTGCAGATGTTGCATTAGATCAACCAACGGTTGCGTGCCACGTCATTGACTGCGCTAGTCGTGTTACCTGGTATATTAAACATCAACTTGAACGTGGCCCAACGTTTTCGTGTTGGTGAAACTCTGTAGATTAAGCCAAAACACATGTGAAGAAAAAACGCAATTTCCAAGAATACTGCCAGCCCATCCTAGTTCCCAGCAACTGCATTGACTGGTATCTACGCGTTCTTATTTTCTTCAGAAACATCTCTGTTATCCATTGCCTGCAGATCCTGTGTCACCAGTAAACTATTATCTCTATTAAGTGCTGAGTCCGCAGTCTTCAAGTAAAATACATATCCTCTCAAACAACCACCAACACGTTGCAACACATTCCATACTTCATTGATTGCTGACACAGTCCTGGACTAAGGACAGAGGTCAAAGTATCTGGGCTACAGAGGGTCATTCAAATTAGTACCCTGATAGGTATTGGGTGCTGACTGACTGGGGTGCAAAATTGCGGTAACTTTTCCCAATATTCCCAGGTTTTCCAGAAATCCCAGTTGG